CCTAGCCGCGTAGGCTATGTCGACCGTATGTCTTCATGGGATGAGGGGGTCTGAGACTGCATATCGGTACATAAAAATACTTGGATTCGTGAGCTCAGAAGGCGCATCGGGACGTCCCAGCTAGGCTGGCCCTTCCTTAGCGCTCTCATCACTTGCTACTACCAAGGTTTTTCATTGAATAAACAAATGCAACTAAGGGTGCCTTCGTGAGGCATTAGATAGAGAGAATTAACAAGGCAATCTATCTACTGTATTTACAAAAACGTAGCTCATGCGTCTATTCTAAAATCTACTGGTAGTATTTTTTGAGATGCTCTGTGTTTCACGGTCTACCCAGTGGTCGTCCCTTCATGCCTTTCAAGCTGTAAGCCCCCTTTCCTAAGCTGCGGATAACTTCATATGGGCCTTCCCAATTTGGTCCGAGTTTTGCTGGGGGGTGTCCTGCTGCTGCCGCGTCTCTTAACACGAGGTCCCCTTGTTGAAAGATTCTTGGTCTCACTCTCCGATTGAAGTATTCAGTAACTCTCCGTTTATAGGTCATCATCTTTATTGCCATATTCTTCCTTACTTCTTCTAGTAGGTCGAGTTCTCCTCTGGTCGTGGTGTCATCGGGCTATCTGACTTTCATCCTGCCTGTCTCACTCAAAATTTCAACTGGGACTACGGCTTCCATCCCTAAGGTTAGTCTGAATGGTGTCTCCCCGGTCGGCTCTCATGGAGTCGTGTGGTACGCCCATAGCACATTGGGTAGCTCGTCTGCTTAAAGCCCCTTCTCGTTTTCCAATCTGGTCTTTAGATCCCAAAGAATGACTCGGTTGGTCACTTCAGCTTGCCCGTTCGATTGTGGGTGAGCGACCGAAGTCAGTCTATGGTCGATGTGATAATTTGCACAAAAAGTTTTGAAGCTATGATTGTCAAATTGTCTGCCGTTATCTGTCACCATTACCCTGGGTATCCCGAATCGACATATAATAATTTTCCATACAAAACCCTGTACTTTTGCAGTCGTGATGGTCGCAAGTGGTCCTGCTTCTACCCATTTGGTGAAGTAGTCGATGGCGACCAACAAAAACTTCCTTTGCTCCTTGGCTAAAGGTAGAGGCCCTAAAATGTCCATCCTCCACTGAAAAAATGGGCACACCCCAAAAATGGCTGTCTGTTGCTCGACTGGGATGTGGATAAAATTTTCGTGTCGTTGACATGTGTCACACTTTCTTACTAGTTCTTTGGCATTTCTTTTCATGGTTGGTCAATAGTAACCTTACCGTAGAATTTTGAAAGCAAGGGATGTTGCCCCTTGGTGGTTACCAAAAGTCCCAGCATGTACCTCAAACAGTATCTCTTTAGCTTCTGAGGGTCGTATGCACTTCAGATATGGCATGGTGAAACCTCGCTTGTAAAGTTGCCCATCAATGATGGTGAATGAGGTTGCCCGAGCTCTCACCCTCCTTGCTTCAGAGGGATCTTCCGGTGTTTTATTTTTTGTGAGATATTTGATTAACAGATCCATCCAGCTTTCCTCGTACTCAATATTTTTCACCTCGACCCAGCGTTGGATGCTGGGTTGTTGTAAGACTTGCACGTTCGCTGTTCGCGGCAGATTTCTTGGGTTTGCCAATGTGAGTTTCGCTAGCGCGTTTGCCCGCTCATTTTCCTTTCGTGGGACCTGTCATCCTGAAGCTCGCGAACCCCCTTTGCAGATTCCTTACTTTCATCAGGTAGGCTGCCATCTTCCCATCCTTATCCTCATATTCCCCCGACACCTGTCCAACTATCAGCTGTGAGTCACTGCAAACCTCCACTGAAGACACCCCCAGCCTAGCTGTCAGACCTAGGCCTGTGATTACTGCTTCATACTCAGCATCGTTGTTAGTGGCGGGGAACTCGAAACGCAATGAGTATTCCAATTCCTCGGAGTCTGGCCCAATCAGTATGATTCCTTCCCCTGATCCTTCCGTATTTGAAGAATCGTCCACAAAAACCTTCCAATCTGTCTTTTGCCCTTCTGGGAGTTCTGCTGGGGTGGTGAGCTCAGCAATGAAGTCTGCCAGAGCCTGCGCTTTGATGGCGGTCCTTGGCTTGAATTCAATGTCAAATTCACTCATTTCAATTGCCTATTTTAGCAGTCTTCCGGACGTCTCTGGTCGATGTAGGATCTGCTTGATGGGTTGGTCGGTCATCACTTGTACCATATGGGACTGAAAGTAAGGCCTCAATTTTCTGACCACCAGTTGTTTGGCCAGACTATACCTTGTCTCTGCGCCTTTGAGGACCTAACTGACATAGTAGACTGATTTCTGTGCCTTTGAGAATTCCTTTACGAGAACTGCATTGACTGTCGTGGCGACACTGCGAGGTAGAGACATAGTACGTCCCTAGGGCAGGGGCTGGTCAATATGGGAGGCTGCTGTAGTGACCTCTTTAGGACCGGGGGCTCTATAGACGCAATCATCAACCCGGTCATACTTACCTAGACATTTTTCCAACTTAAGTGGGGAATTGTAGAGACTGACCTTTTAGGATATCTAGGGGGACAACGTCACCAGTTGGATCTTGCCCAATTTCTAAATTTTGGTTTGGAAACTTCGTAGAACTAATGTGCCTCTTAGGGGAATTTGGGATTAACGCCTGAGAATTGATTGAATGAGTTTCACTATCAATGTCATAAGGAGATCTACCGGACGAAGGGGGCGAGTCACTAGCGAGTAGGGTCGAGGGTCCGGATGGGCCACGAAGATCAGGGAAAGTCGGGGAAGGGCTAGCTCGCTGGTCATCGACCGGCTACCCTGTGGGCCGATCGGACCCCCTCCGGTACCCTCCGACGAAGGTTCGGTCGAGTCACTACACCCCCTGTCACTATTCTCATTGGAAGGAGAAGAAAGAATAGTTTTATACCTGGCAACAAAAAAAAAGGATGAAGAGAGCAAAAACTCAAAGCTAGACTTTGGATTAAAAAGGAGAAAAAATTACCTTAGAAGGGAGAAAGCCTAGGATGTTGAGAGAAAATGAGAGTGATTCTTTGAAGTAGAAATCACCCCCCTTTTATAGACACAAGAATTCAAACTTTTTGGAGGAAAAATTCTCTCCAACATTAGGACCATTGATGGGGTGCCATGTGTACAGTAAAATTGCTACTTGATTTCGATTGCATTGCTCGACTTGCTAATACGAATTACTCATTTATCAATAAAAAAAGCTGAAAAAGAAAAATTTTCAAACCAACCCAGATAAGGAAAATTGCTATCCCTTGCCGAAAACATCGACAAGGGGTAGGGGCTAATAATATAGGTTGGTAGAGGAAGCCACCCTCGGTGACAAGCAAGATGGATCGTTGCACTTTGATGCAAAACCATCGACCCTTAAGGGGCACTACTATCCGCAAGTGGTGCTCTACCACCATGCACGGCCATCGACTCCCCAGGGGCGCTCTACCACTACCCTTAGGGGGCGCTCTACCACTACGCGAGGCCGTCGACCCCCCCAAGGTCGCTCTACCTCTACGTGGTCTTCAACTGGCATGGAATTGCCTATACGATTATCCAAACATTTAGCCATAAAACCTCAAGTGAATTGACTAGGTTCCATGGCGGTTAATACGGGTGCAACCTCCAAGCGGGAAGTTAAAGACCCCGCACTCAGAACGTGGGGGTAGTGGAAATGCCAACGTGGGACACGTGGCACCACGACGGCCCAGCGGTTATTTAGCTCCCAATATCTATAAATACCCTCGGATGTGATACAGGTAAGGGGATTTTCTCTCATTTTAGCCATCTGAATTCCAATCACATTTTTTCCCAAGTCTATAAACTAGTTCTCACGTCGGAGGTAAAACGGAGGAGGAAGCCTCGCCTTCGTTTTTCAGGTCACACACCCTTGACGGAGTAGTCGGAACGCCGAACACCACCAGGCGGATGGAAGGGTGTTGTTCCATCACCACTTCATTGCTAATGATATAGGTTGGTAGAGGAAGCCACCCTCGGCGACAAGCAAGATGGATCACTGCACTTCGATGCAAGGCCATCGACCCTTAAGGGGTGCTCTACCACTATCCCCAAGTGGTGCTCTACCACCATGCACGGCCACCGACCCTCCAGGGGCGCTCTACCACTACCTCCAGGGGGCGCTCTACCACTACGCGAGGCCGTCGACCCCCCCCTAAAGTTGCTCTACCTCTACGCAAAGTCTTTAACTGGCATGGAATTGCCTATAGGATTATCCAAACACTTAGCCATAAAACCTCTAGTGAATTGACTAGGTTCCATGGCGGTTAATATGGGCGCAACCTCCAAGTGGGAAGTCAAAAGATCCCCCACTCAGAATGTGGGGGTAGTGGGAATGCCAACGTGAGACACGTGGCACCACAACCGCCCAACGGTTATCCAGCTCCCAATATCTATAAATACCCTCGGATGTGATACAGGTAAGGGGATTTTTCTCTCTTTTTAGCCATCTGAATTCCAATCATATTTTTTCCAAGTCTAAAACTAATTCTCACGCCGAAGGTAAAACGGGGAAAGAAGCCCCGCCTTCGTTTCCGTCACCACTTCAACAGTAAAATCAAAACATATCAAGAAAATCAAATTAATAATATAAAGAATTAAAAGAATCGCCAAATTTATATTATACCAAAAGAGAAATTGTATCACAAAATATATCTCATAACTAGTCATATGACTATCCAAAAATTTTGGTCAAAAGAAATGCCTACAGATTTTTTTCAAAAAGTTCTCTTGGTCTATTCACTACCCTCTTTTACTGGGCACCATTTTCCTATTTTACATAATGTCACCTTGCTGTCTATTCCACGTACATCATAGTATTTACATGATGACAAGTAACCAGATCATAAACATCAATCATTACCATCACGAAATCCTTACCGTTTTCAAAAGTTTCAATCCCTTCTTCCTCGTCAACAACCGTATAAAAACGTGTATAGAGAGTACGCCTATATATAACATGTATTGCCGTGAGGTCCTTAGTAATTTCGACATGTCTGGTTGTTCTAATAGTTTTAGTTTCTCTTGGTGCCATCAACAATACAAAATACAAACAAAAATGCTACGAGTATAGGAAACTCGTTAGAGGTGTAGGATTTCAAATAATGATGACATTGCATAAAAAAAAAAACAAAAATAATACTTCACCTGTATTTCCCCCACATCCAAAGTCTCTTCTATTTCTCCCAAATCACCCACGAAATTTCTTTCCCAAACCAATCTTCCCGTCGCTGTGCTCACCATCACCGTCGATCAGCACTACCGCATACGAGGTGAGCACTCCCTTCACAACCGCAGTCATCTCCATCGATGCTAACAAGCTGCCTGCAAACAGAAAAGCTGACGCCGCACTAAATCCTTAAATAAAACTCAACATAAAGCAAGAAAAACTGAACACAAGTTTAAGCTAACCTTCTTCCATTGGTGCCGGCTCAATTGCTTACCCACCCAATAAACAAAATAGCAACCAGTACAAGGACAAAGCACAAATGGGAAGAATTTATGTAAGCAAAACTTGTACTTTGTGCTGAAGAAAAATCCAAAAAAATGAAGAGTAATAAAACGGGAGTATTATGTGGGTAACGAGAAAGAGGGTTGGGGTAGCCATGAATGAGCACAGAGAAGCTAACCAATTGACAACCCAAGAAAGAAGATGGGAGAATACCTTTGTCTGCCATTATCGGTGACTGCAAATTTTGGAATTCTTGGTGAGAATAGCATCGACTTTCTGTTTGCATACAACTCGGAGATGCGTCGATCAATTGCTCGGATTTTGGCCGGATATGGGTGAGCGATCAGTGGCGGGACTCGACGCCAATTTTGGCGGAAATGGTGGAATGAGAAGCTGTCCTTTTCTGCGTTTTGCTTTCTCAGCCTTATGTTTTTTTCTTTTTTTGCTTTTTGTATGCCACGTCATTAATTTTTCAAATCCTATACTATTCCTGTAATGAGTTTTCTGTACTCATAGCACTACTCAAATAAAAAGCATGAACTATAAAGTTAGGTAAATATGATGATGCAATGATGGATGTCAAGCATAAGTGGGCCCAAATCCTTATTATAGGGTACCGTATGAGCTCCAAATAACATGGTCTTTTCTTACACACAAACCAATATCAACGCATCCATCGTTGCCCATTGAGACTAAGGATGCCACATTAGAATATTATATATACAAATTCAAGGCCTGGTCTACTATATACAGCCTTCCAGGTGCCTATCCGCAGTCCCAAGGGACCTCTTGACATTGTCCGTATACAGGTGCCAAACTCCAAATACCCTATCCTTGGCTACCTTTAATGACTGTCACGAGCTTCAAAGTGGTATAGTTATTCGGAAATAATAGTACAGTACATCTATTATGGGATTCACATTCAAAATTTTCAACTGCAACTCAATCAGCATGACAATAAAAGCATGCATGATCTTGAAAACGTAATTATCCCTATATTTTCCAAATAAACTCAATGCACACCTAACATGCTAACATGTCACATAGTAAAATGAGACAACCACATAATTACACATATTAATGTATCTTGTACTCTAGTTGAAAAACATCAATATTTACCTTTTTCGTGACTTCCTTGATCAATATCTACATTAATACAATAATCTCTATATTAATCATATCTTATCATATTATTTTTTCAATCATCTAAACTAAGCCTATAAGATAATATATGTTACTTAATAAGATGTCCCCAATAAGAATACAAATAATGATACTAGTTTACTACCAACAAATAGTATTAATAATAACAATAATATAAATGAAATTCTCGTTATCGTCATTAAAGAAATTCCTTAATTTCGAAAATAAATTTAGTACATAGACAATTTAAGCTTGCCATTGCACTACCATATTATTTTCTATTTCATGCTTTTACCATATTTTCCCCAAATCTATTTTACACAATCTTTAATATTGCAAACTAATTAAACTCAATATATCTTGAAATAGTTTATAAATTTTAAAATTTCTAGATTTAAGATTTCGAAATAGAAAAATCATAATTCATTTTCCTTGATTTTGTTAATTAAACTTAACCCTAATATTATTTTTCCTCAATTAGTAAAGAACCCTAAAACAAAAATTTTAATTCCTATTTATAAACCAATTAAGTACTTAAAATAAATAATTAATTAAATAATTATCTAAATAAATAGTTAACTAAAAAAATTAACAAAAGTAATTATCTTTAAAAGAAAGACATTAAGAAATGAAAGGGATGAGTGACATTTCTCATTTGACGATCATCCTCTATTTATAGTTGATGTTAGGGGTTAATTGTGCAATTTATCAAATTACACTTTTAACCCCTAGGGTAATGTGCAATTATTTGATTGGTTTATAAAATTGCACTTTTAGACCTTATGCAATTATTCCTTTGTTTATGAAATTGCACTTTTAAATCCTTGAACAAATGTGTAATTATGAAATTGCACTTTCAATCCACATAATACTGTTTTAATTGCAATTCCTAATAATATTTATTCTATCATTCAATTAAGTCCCTAGAATTTTTAAATGCTTTCTAAAATATTTACTAGAAAATTTCGGGATATTACATTATCCCCCACTTAAAGAAATTTCGTCTTCGAAATTTAAAACTTACCAAATAATTCTGGATATTTAATCTTCATATCTTCTTCTCGTTCCCATGTTGTTTCTTCTAAAGTTTGATTTCTTCACAAAACTTTGACAAGTAGAATATGTTTATTCTGTAATTGTTTGACCTCTCGAAGTAAAATTTTTACTGGTCTTTCTTTATATGTTAAATTAGTTTTTAGATCCTCGTGCCATATTTTCTGAGCTTATTATTTGCTTTCAGTAATTCCAATGTGAATGTACTGCCTTAATTGATTCAACTTTGGTCAATATTGTGTTCTTGCTTATTTTCTCTTCAATTTTATAATGACAATTACAATCTAGTTGTGCATTCCTGACACAGGACTCGTGTGACTCTTAAAAGAGATGGGGTTGTCCTGGATTTGATTCCACCTCCTACTAAGGTTAACAATTTGATTTTTGGACGAACCTGGGTGGATTCACCAGGAGAAATAGTCATGACAAATTTAACAACTGGAGATAAAGTTCTCTATTTTCAACCTTTTGGTTGGTTTGGGTATGTTGGTTCTCATTTAATCTTTCATTTTCTCAACCTTAGCTGCACTCTTATTTGTTTATTGAAATCTTTATGATTATCTGGAAAAAGTCGTCACTTGCTTTTCATGAAGAGTTAAAAGCCATTGATTTGTTAGTTAAAAGTCTAACTGAACGTCTCAGCTTTCTCCTGTACTGGTTTTGGAAAGGTATTGTAGAACTTAGCTTTAGAGATACTGGGTGGGTAGTTTCTTCTATCAGAGTACTAAGAGAATGAAAAATTTCAATTTGATTGTTGATGCTTTTGATTGTTGCCACTAGTTCATCTAGTTTTGCAAATTGCAATACTAAGAAGATATTTATTTTCGTCACAAACATAGGCAATGCTCCTACCAGCTGCTTTTGATGTTAACATACCCTTTATAGGGTGCAGAGCTAATAGATATGAGGTATATGGATGATAGAACCTCGATTCATGCAACATACCAAAGGCGCAAACAAGGATCAAGGGGAATTGGCACAATTGTCGGAACAATTGCATAATTACAGCACCAATTGTAGTTACTAATTGCATAATTACAGCACCAATTGCAGTATAAATAAGGGGAATAATCACGTTACCAGAATCTAGAAATTGGGAGAGTGTGGGCCTCTCGAATGTCCATTAATCTTTGAGTCATGGAGATTCGGGTTGCCTTTGAGACCTTAGCAGCGCCAATTGGGGAGATCTCAGAGGCCATATTGGAGGGCCATTTCATCAATGGGCTGTCTCCAGAAATTAAGGCCGAGATCCGTGTGTTGAAGCCCAGGGGGTTGGAGCAAATCATGGAGCTGGCCCAACGCATTGAAGAAAGGAATCATGCCATGCAGGCCCATTTTTGTGGCTCTGGCCCAGTGCGAAATAAAGCAAATACCAATCGAAATTGGCAAAATTCCCCTTACCGACGTACGACCTTAAACGCACCAACCACCAATCCACGTCCTGCAATGTCAATTGAAAATCGAAACATTGCTCCTGTCGGCGTAGCCTCTTTCGGTTTCAAAAAGCTTAGTGAGGCCGAATTTAAGAATAAGCGAGAGAAGGGACTTTGCTTCCGCTGTGACGAGAAATACTCTATTGGGCACAAGTGCAAATCCAAAGAACTGCAAGTGCTGCTGATTCATGATGAGGAGATAGAAGGATTGGGAAGTGAAGAGAGGCGCGAGGAACAGGATGAATGTGGACGAGCAGTTACCAGTGAAGTGGTTGAGTAATCAATGAACTCGGTGGTAGGGCTCACCCTGCCTCAAACCGTGAAAGTGAAAGGTGCGATTTCGGGTGAAGAGGTAGTTGTGCTAATTGATTGCGAGGCTAGTCACAATTTTATTTGTGCTGAGATAGTACAGAAGCTGGGATTGCCAAGAACTAATACAACTGGATATGGGGTAATCATGGGCACGGGTATGGTAGTGCAAGGAGCGGGGGTGTGCAAACGAGTGCAATTATCCCTCCAAAACATTGAGATAGTGGAAGATTTTCTTCCCTTGGATTTGGGGAGCTCTGATGTGATTCTAGGGATGAAGTGGCTATCATCCTTGGGACCAACCAAAGTTGATCGGAAAACTCTAACGATGAAGTTCCAGGTTGGGGGTACTACCATGACTTTGCAAGGGGATCCAAGCTTGAGTAAAACGTTAGTCACCTTGAAGGCCATGATGAAAGCTTTCAAGGAAGGAGGTGAGGGTGTGTTTCTTGAATTAGGCAGCATGGAGGTCGAGCTTGGACAGGCACAGATTGAGCCACCAATAGAAATTATAGAGGTGTTAAGTGAATTTGGGGAGGTTTTTAAAGAGCCTGAAGGGCTGCCGTTGCAACAAGATAAGGATCGTGCCATCCACTTGCAACCAGGAATAACCCTTATATGTGTGAGGCCATACCGTTACCCTCATGTTCAGAAAAATGAGATCGAGAAATTGGTTAAAGAAATGCTAATAGTCGGGATTATTAGGCCAAGTACCAGTCCTTTCTCAAGTCCAGTTTTATTAGTGAAGAAAAGAGATGGAGGATGACGCTTCTGTGTAGATTATAGAGCCATAAACAAGGTAACGGTACCGGATAAGTTTTCTATTCCGATGATCGACGAATTGTTGGATGAGCTACATGGGGCGACAATCTTCTCTAAACTCGATCTAAAGGCTGGTTATCATCAAATTCGGGTCAAATCGGAATATATCCCAAAAACGGCATTCAGGACCCACGAAGGGTATTATGAGTTCTTGGTAATGCCGTTCGGATCGACGAACACACCAGCCACATTCCAGTCACTCATGAATGAAGTATTTAAAGAACAGTTGAGGCGATTTGTTCTCATTTTTTTTGATGATATTTTGATATTCAGTCGAAGTTTAGAGGATCATGCGGAGCATCTGAGGAGTCTTGCAGCTGCTAAGACAACATCGGTTGTATGCCAATCGCAAGAAATGTAGCTTCGATCAACTAGAATTAGAATACTTGGGGCATTGCATTTCACACAGGGGTGTGGCCGCAGACAAGTCAAAGATTCAAGCAATGGTAGACTGGCCTAATCCCTGCTCATTGCGAGAGTTGAGGGGATTTTTGGGCCCCACAGGGTATTACCGCCGTTTTGTGAAGGATTATGGTAAATTAGCATGGCCATTAACAGAAAGGTTACGCAAAAAATTGGGATGAAGAAGCAAAGCAAGCGTTCAGAACACTGAAAACAGTCATGACATCTGTACCAGTCCTCGCCATTCCGGACTTCACCCGCCCCTTTAGTGGAGACAGACGCTTCGGGTTTTGACGTGGGAGCTATGTTAATGTAAGACCATCATCCTATTGCATACTATAGCTGTGCGCTTAATCCAAAAGGGAAGTCAAAGTCAACTTATGAAAGAGAATTGATGGCGATTGTGTTTGTGGTGCAAAAATGGAAACACTACTTGCTTGGTCACAAATTCTATGTGCGAACGGACTAGAAAAGTTTAAAATTCTTATTGGAGCAACGAGAAGTGAACTTAGCGTACCAGAAATGGTTACTTAAGTTAATGGGTTATCAATTTGAGGTTCAATATCAACCGGGGAAGTGAAAACAAGGTTGTTGATGCCCTTTCCCGCATCAGCTCTTCCACCGAGTTAATGGTAATATCAGCTCCTGCAGTAGTACAACTAGACATTCTTCAAGAACTCAGGCAGAGTCCTCCTAGCAGACCAGATTTTGCAGTGGTAAATGGCCAGCTGCTATTTAAAAGGAGTCTATTTCTACCCAAAGGGTCATCACTGATTCCGTTAATGTTACAAGAGGGGCACGACAGCAAGATTGGAGGACACTCCGGCTATCGAAAAACTTACAAACGCATCTCCGAAAATGTCTATTGGGAAGGGATGAAAGCTGATATTCAACGTTATGTGAACCAATGTGTAGTTTGTCAACAAAACAAGTATATCGCACTATCACCAGGGGGTTATTGCA